CACACACACACACACACACACACACACACACACACACACACATACCAAGTACAGCCTCCCAAACAGGAAAGCACAGCACATGTGCTGTCAGTGTAAGCGAGACTTGTGTATGGAACATGCTGTTGTCATGTGTGAAGATGGCCTTAGATGTGATAATTGAAGCAAAGATTATTTCTGAGGTAGAGCTTTGTTTGTATTTTTATTATAGTTCATATAGAAATTTATTTTTGCCATTAGTATTTTAGATTTTGTAAGCAGGTAAACAGTTGATGTTGAAAATGTTGTTTATTCTAAACACTCATTACATATTAAAATTTATTATTTTATTTTATATTTTATTTTCCTGTTAAGTACACAGTTTAAATAATAAAACCCAAAATTAAAATTAATAATTCATCAATAGAAATACCCCTAAAAAGTAAACGTGGGCGTTATACACCCCCCCATAATGGGCCTTTTAAAAAATTTACCATGATGCCCCTATTAATTTTGACTTGGGTTCCGGAGGAGGCTGAGGTATCTAATTCAGCGGGGACCTGCCCCAGCTGGACCTGCAAAGGCTAAAAATCACCAGCCACGGTGCTAAGAGGCAAGCATAAAACGACCATAAAGTTAAGTGAAATAAATCAGACACACAAGCTGAAATATCACATGGTTTCCCCAGAGGAATGTAATCATATACTGCAAACGTGTTTATAAAAATTAAAATTTTTTTTAAAAACAACAACAAAAGAGAAACTAGGAAGTGCTGTGACAAAGCCGCAGGCGCATGCCCAGATCAGTCACCTACAAAGCCTGGGAAGGAGAAAGGGGCGGGGAGGGGCGGGGCTATTCGGGGAAAGCCCTTTGTCCCCTTTCCACTCGCACAACCCATTCGTCACAGTCTACCTGGGCGGGGGCGGGGCTTTTGCCGGAAGTGACTCAATGCTGGGCGGAGTCACAAAATGGGCGGGCCGACATCAGCTGGGCAATCTCTTCGGGTTTTGTAAACGCCTGGGGAGGCGCGCAAAGTCCGGACCCTTCAGGCGGCTTTTGTGGGGGTTTCCGGGAGCGGGACCGCGGCGGCGGCCCCGCAGACGGGATGTTCCGAGGGTTAAGCAGTTGGTTTGGCTTGCAGCCCCCGGGGACAGAGACGGATGGCGAGCCGTCGGCCGGGGCCACTCCGTCCGAGCAGCGTTCCGACACGGAGGCGGAGCCCCCAGAGGAGCAGCACCCAGAGGACCCGGAGCTCCTCCACCAGGCCAGAGGCCTCGGCAGTGAGTGTGACCGGCCGCCGGGTGGGAGACGGTGGTGGGCGGTGCCCCTGGGGTGCCGGCCCGCTGGCCGCCGGGGTGGGGGACGGGAGGAAGGCGGGTCATCTAGCAGTCAGATCCTGTCCCTTGGAAGTTCCTTGGGGCCTGCCACTTTGATTTTTATGTTTTTAAAGGTTGTTTTGTTTTTTTGAAAGGGTCTCGCTATGTAGCCCAGACTGGCCTCGAACTCTCAACAATCCTGCCTCAGCCTCCCTGGGATTACAGGCGTGCGCCACCAAGCCCAGCTGGCGTGCTACTCTTTGTAAAGTTGCTATCTATACATGGGAAGCAGGGCTGCAGTAAAGCGGTCTCATCCGGCGTCTTCGTGTTTAACCAGAAAACTGTTTTCTTCAGCCGCCGGTTTTCACCTGCACCTTCACCTGCAATCCTTGATGAGCTTGAGTTGGTGGGAAAAAGTGCCCTTTTCCTCTTAGGGCAGTGTTATCACAAGTAAACTGACAGTGACTGAACCCTCCGTCTTGCCTTTTTAGGTGCATTGGGTCTTTTTTTCCTTAAGGTGGGAAAAGAGCAGCGGAGGCCTGCGGTGTGCAGGTCGGAGTAGTAGAGGTCCTTGGAACTCGCCTGTTAAACACCCGCAGTGAGAGCTGGGCGTGGTGACTCCGCCTGTCATCCCAGCCCTGAGGGAGGCTACAGCGGGGAAGGTCGAAAGTTTGAGTCCCACTTGGGCAACTTAGAGAGTCCCTGCCTTGATCAAAGTAAAAAATAAAAAGGGCTGGGGATGTAGCTCAGTGGTAGAGTGCCTCTGGGTTCCAGCCCCAGCCCTGAAAAAGGGGGTGGGGGGAGCCCAGAGTTACTGGGCCGAAGTTATAGTGATAAGAAGTGGTAGAAGTGAGATCTGAGCCTAAATCTATCAAATTTCAAAGCACTTTTTGAGTTTACAGTCTGGTGGGGGCATGAAGAATGTAAACATGCCGTAGTAATTCTGATTCCAGGGAAACCTTGGCAGGTTTAAATAGTCCAAGTGTCTGAGGAGGTAGGCCCTAAAGCGGACTGGCGTTAAAAAGGAGAGAACTTCGGAACTGAATGTTACTTGTAACAAGGTTTTTTAAAGGATCTGTAAAATGGGGGAGGGGGGCAGAGAAGAAAAGCACACATTTCAATAAGAATGGCCCTAACTTTCAAAATGCTTACTGTGGCTGCAGGAGTAGGGACGATAAACAATCTCAAATCACGGTATTATAGGCAGCAAAGTTAGTTAGAAATATGATAGGCAGTCAAACAGGGCTAGGCCCTTGAAGAAGTCAGTGCAGAAGATGAGAACACATCACAGTTGTGGGTGAAGGCTCACTCATTCAAGTCCAGGCCTCAAGACACAGATGAAATAACTACATCTACTTCCCCAGGGATAAACAGTAATGATTGGTATTCTAAATAGGCGTCAGTCACCTGGTGGGGAACCAAGACCTTAACCCATCCCTTCTAGGAAGGTCCTTGTTCTTTCCGTGCGCTCTTGCTACACTTGCCACGTGACCTGCTTCCCCACTGGCTCAATATTGTCTAAGTGACTAGTAATCTTACTGGTTGACTGTAGTTTTTTCCCACCTTATGCCCACCTCGTGATATTGCTCTATAAAACATTATTTGATTTTGTTTGTTTGTTTTTGGTTTTGTTTTTTTGGTACCGGGGATCGTATTCAGGTCCTTGTGCTTTCGAGGGAGGCAGTGAAACCACTGAGCTAAATCCCTGGCCCTATAAAACATTATTTGAGAAGTGGCTTCGTGGGCAGCCCACTTTCTGGGTCCCCTTGTGTCTCTCTTAGAAGCTATCTTTCCTTAATAAATATTTCCTACTCTTAACCTCCATTGTTCCTAGAATTCATTCTTCAATTTTAGAGAACACAAACTTGGCATATCATACATCCAACAGGTTGAGAGTTATATTTTCCTTATGTCATTTGGAGGTACTTGTATCATCCCTGTATCAATGACAGTATATTATCTCAGATCAAGGCTCCCAGATCCTACCCAAGAAAAATAAAACTAAGTCCTGGAGGCTGTATTAAATAAAATGGGACAAAGTTAGGAATGTTTACTTGATTTCATAGAAAATAGCCATTTCCAACTATTCTAAAGGAGGTATCGAAGTTGGCTTCTTAAAATTCAGAAATGAGGGCTGGGGATTTAGCTCAGTGGTTTCGCCACGTGCTGTGCAAGCGCAAGGACCCGAGTTCAATCACTGGTACAAAAAAAAAATTTAGAACTGAGCTGGACATGGTGGTGCACGCCTGTAATCCTAGCACTCAAGAGGCTGAGGCAGGAGGATCTCCATCCATAAGTTTGAGGCCACCCTGGGCTACATAGTACAAAGCCAGCCTGAACTACACAGTGAGACCCTGTCTCAAAAAATCAAGGAAAGGGCCGGGGATTTAGCTTAGTGGTGCCACTGCCTACCTCGAAAGCGCAAGGTCCCGAGTTCGATCCCCAGTACAAAAAAAAAAAAAACCAAGGTGAAAAAAATAGAAAGGTGAAACTTCATGTTTGTATTTAGCAATAAAGAGAAATTCAGAGGAATTGTTTTCTAATACATATATTTTGTGTGGTTGGGAGTGTGACCCAGTATGGCCTAGAGCACTTGCCTAGCATACATGAAGCCCTGGGTTCTATCCCTTGCACCACACAAAAGAAAGAAAATGTGTTTTGATGTGAATGTCTACCTTGGTGCTAATACTACTCTCTTTCTTCACCAAGCTTTTGATATTTGAGGGGGCTGAAGTTAGATCCTGGGCTACATAGTGAATTCAAGTTCAGCCTGAACTACATAGTGAGACCCTGTTTCAAAAAAACAAAACAAAAATATAAACACAAGCTGGGCATGGTAGTACAAATGAGAGTTGTCTTGGTGATTCTAAGTAATTTCTCTTAAATACTGTTTAATGCAGTTTTGCAAAGAGTGGAAGGAAAACTTGTAACCGCCAGGCATGGTGGCACATGCTCATAGTACCAGCACTCTGGGAGACACAAAGGAATTTGTCTGTTCCTTCACTGTAGGCTCCAGGTGGAGAGAAGGCATGAGCGTACCAAGTAGCCTCCTGTGGTATTGTCATAATGGCCAGCTGGTATGATTGACAGATAAATGCCAACAACCCTGTGGGAGAAAGTAGGCTGTTTTGCAGAACTAGGGGTTGAACCCAGGGTCTTCACACTGAGCTATATACCGGGGATCGAACTCAGGACCTTGCACTTGCAAATATCTCCAGCCTTTTTTATTTTGAGCTAGGTTGTCCAGGCTGGGCTTGACTTTGCAGTCCTCTTGTCTCAGCCTTCCAGGGCTCTGGGATTGTAGCTATGCATCACCACCCCCGGCAGGTACTGTGTGCTGGTAAAGGCCGTGGGCAGTTGGAGAGCGAGCGGGTCATCTCGATGCCAGTGCAGGCTGCCCCATTCCGACTTCCGGAAGTGATGCTACACACAGAGTGGGATGTAGCTGGTGTGCAGGCCCCTCTGCTACTCTTGGCAGAGTGCTGTGCCAGTCCACAGGTGCTGGACCTCCCTAGACTTCCCGAGGTGAGGCTGTTTCCTGGGGGACAGTGGAGCTGCCAAGGAGAACCCAGCAGCCGACTCCAGAGCTGCCTCCAGTCTCTGTCCAGAGCCCGGGTGTGGGAGTGTGGGCTTCCGGTGGCCTTTATCTACCGCTGAGCCTTTCCGTTATGGTGCAGTAGAGCTGGGGCACAGGCATCTCTCAAGGCCTCAAGAAACCTAAGTTATGGGCCGGGGATTTAGCTCAGTAGTTCCAGTGCCTGCCTCGAAAGCGCAAGGTCCCGAGTTCGATCCCCGGTACCAAAAAAAAAAAACCTAAGTTAAAAAAAATTTTTTTTAATTAAAAAAATAACTAATTGCAGTTTGGTACGAAGGTGAAGGTTGGGGTCTCCATTTTTAATCCCATTCCACAGATCCGCTCGCTATTATTAGTTCAGAAGGAGTCGTCTTTCCTGGAGGGCTCACCAAGGCTTCCTGATTCAGAATTCCCCCAGATTTGCTTTGGGTGCTAGGCAACCGGGGAAGTGAGGGACATTGTTGTTTGAACAGGAGGAAGGCCGAGAAAATACAGGTGGGCTCGGCAGGGTCTAGAAAGGAAGGAAAGCATAAAAGAACTTGTTCTTATTTGTAAAGTAGGAGGGGAGATTACCTACTGAGATAAGTTAGAACTGGAGACCCTGAGGCAGAAAGGAGTTTGAAACAGCTGGGAGGGCTTGGCCAGAGAGAGAGTGACACTCAAATCCTTATTACAGGGAACCCGCCCTCTCCTTTTACATTTGTTTTTTCTCCTTACCAGAACGGAACTCAGGACCTTGTGCTTGCCAGGCAGGTGCAGCACCGCTGAGCTACCTCTCCAGCCCTCCTTTTAGATTCTTTAAAGGGAAAATACATTATAAATAAGCAACCCTCCGTATCTGGAAATGGTGTAGCATAATACCACTCCTGGCACAACTCTGGCTCTGGGGACAGGAAGTGATGTAGAAGCACATGCATACACTCCCACCTCACGCAAGGGACTGGCTAGTCTGAAGACTGAGATCCGGGGAGGTCCTGGAACAGCCCCCCAGATCTGAGGTGGGGGCGACTGTAGTATGGGTGCCCAAGTGAAACACAGACTCTTTCTCCTTTACAGACTATCTGTTTAACTTTGCAAGTGCCGCCACAAAAAAGATAACTGAATCAGTCGCTGAAACAGCACAGACAATAAAGAAATCTGTGGAAGAAGGAAAAATAGATGACATCATTGATAAGGTAAATTTAAATATCTTTTGGGGATGAAAACAAAGAATTAACAACTCTCCTCGATGAATGTAATCATTTCGTACTACAAACATGGACTTTAAAAAGTAAAATATTGGGCCGGGGATTTAGCTCAGGTCCCAAGTTCAATCCCCGGTACCAAAAAAAAAGAGTAAAATATTAATATCTTTTGGGAGTAAAAATTTATGAAATTTACTAGTAGCTAATATAATCATCTGTTCTTGTGAATGTCTTAAAACCCACGTAGGATATCATATTATTCTGATATTTTTTATTCTGATTTTTAAAATCGTGTGTGTGTGACTGGAGGTCAAACCCTAAAGTGCTCTGCCACTGAGCTACATGCGTAGCCTGTCTAAAATTTTTATTTTGAGACAAGGTCTCACCAAGTTGCCCAGGCTGACCTTGAACTTCTGATGAGTAGCTGGGATAACAGGCGTCCAGCACTACCCCCGGCTCATTTTTGTCCAGTGTTAAAGTGCAGGCCTAGGGAATTTCATTGATGTTGATAATTATTTGAACTAAAGAAGTCATCAAATAGGCCTCAGATATATTGTTATTTAGGTAGTTTGTTATGTGTACTCTTATTGGAAAGAGATTTAGCCTGTCTTTTATTGTTTTATGGACTAATAGAACAGTTTAGCTTTCCACCCATTTTATTTTTGTATTTGAAGAAAGAATGTGCCATAACAGAGGTTGTATACTTACAATTCAAAAATATTGAAGGATCCTTCTTATTTAGGAATTGGAAATCTATCAGTTTTAGCGTTTTTATTGAAAGAAAATGAATAATGTATCTTAAATAGACTTTAAAAACCTTAAATGCAATTCATATAGTAAATATTTCAAAGTAATTTCACTCTTTTCTGTATTTTTTTGAACAGACAATTATAGGAGACTTTCAGAAGGAGCAAAAAAAATTTGTTGAGGAACAACATACAAAGAAGTCGGGTACGGTACCGGTTTATTTTAATTAACCTGCCACATTTTGTTGAGAAACTATTGTGTGCTAGACCCACATGAAGGCCCTAGGAATATAGAGATGTGGACGGGCCTTGGGGTATAGCTTAGTGGCAGAGCACTTGCCCCGTACACACCAGGCCCCCCAAAAAGTGTACATGACATCTACCCTCCTTTGGGTAGCACAGAGACTAGTTGGGGAGATAAACCCATAAACCTTTAAGGGCTTAAAGAAAGGGAATAGGGGCCAGGGATTTAGCTCAGTGGTTCTGGCGCCTCCCTCGAAAGTGCAAGGTCCTGAGTTCGATCCCCGGTACCAAAAATAAAATAAAGGGAATGAGGCCGGCTATGGTGGTGCACACCTGGAATCCCAGAACTCAGGAGGATCACCCTGAGTTCAAGGCCAAAGTGAACTACATAGACCGTATCTTGGCAAACAAACAAAAAAAGTCACTGCCCATGTACCCACGAGGAAGGCCAGCTAGGAGAGAAAAGCAACGGCAGGCCAGAGGGGAGAATTTCTAGGAGAGCCCAGTGGCAGTGTGAGCCAGCCCACAAGGCCCGGTCTTAGTGACCATGAGAAGGGACACCGTGGAGGCTGGGACGGAGCTCAGTTGCCCTGCCTGCACATGCGCAAGGCCCTGGCTTCACTCCTGTTGTGGCCCCAGTGACCCTGTGAAGTAAGGAGCCTGGCCTTAGGACAGAGCTGAGGAGCATCCTCACCAGGAAGGTACTGGTCACACTGAGAGTGGCATCAGAAGAGCAGGTAGCAGCTGGTCTCCTCCTCGCCAGTACCTGGGCCCCGGCAGGGCCTCAGTAGCCGAGGGTTAGGGTGCTGAGAGAGGCAACCCACCCCATTCCCAGGATGGGCTGCCATGTGTGGTCTGGCGTGGCACTACGGCCTCCAGCACGCAGGCTTCGTGTGTGGCATCCTGCTGTCTCTGGCATTCAGCTCCTGCTCCTTGAAGATTAGATTCCAGCTCTGTTTTATTTTATTTATTTTATTTTTTTTAAGAGTAGCAAGAATTTATTAAGAGCAAGATAGCTTCTGTTAAGAGAGACAGAAGGGGGACCGGAGAATGGGCTGCCCTCCAACACTCGAACCCTATTTTATTAAGACAGGGTCTCACTATGTAGCCAGACTGGCCTCTGACTCACAGCAGTCCTCCTGCCTCAGCCTCCTGAGTGCTGGGATTACAGGCCTGTGCCACTACATCCAGCTTCACCTTTCTTATTTATTGCTTCTGATTTGTCACTCGCTTTCATGTGCCTTCACTCCTACAGACCCTTCTGTCATTCCTAATCAGTTATCTTGTTTTGTTTTTATTTTCTTGTTTTGGGGATGGAGTCTTGCTATATTGCTAGGCTGGCTGGCCTCCAATGCCTGGATTCTGCCTCAGGCTCTTTTTTGGGGGGGGTGGGCAGTACTGGGCATTGAACCCAAGGCTTTTGTACTGAGTTGCATCCCCAGCCCTTTATGATTTGAGACAAGGTCTTCCTAAGTTGCCCAAGCTGGGCTCAAACTTGTGATTCTCCTGCCTCAGCCTCCCAGGTTGCCGAGATCACAAGTGTGTACCACCATGCCCAGCACACTTCCCTTTTTGTTAATAGACTCCTCCACATTTGAACTTTGTCTGCTATGTCCTTGTGACTAGATTCAGATTATGCATTCTTGGCCAGAGTGCCACATAGGTGACGACGTACCCGTGTCGGGATGTCATGTGTGGAGGCCCGTAATATCCTCCCCTTTGTTGGTGCTGTCGCTGCTGATCACCCAGTTAAGGTCCAGTTTCTCTACTGTGTCATTTGAGTAGGGTTATTGGAGGTCCATATGTGGAACTTAGCGGTAAATTGCTGCCTTCAGTGGTCGTGTAGAAACTATCATTCTTGGGCCAGGGATTTAGTTTAGTGGTGCTGCTGCCTGCCTTGCAAGCACAAGGTCCCGAGTTCGATCCCTGGTACCCCCCCCCAAAAGAAACTATCATTCTCTGAAAGCAGAGAGCACAGTGCAACCATTGTAACAGCTTTTTCTGGTTTCTTCTTTGCCTTTGAAAACTCTAGAAGCAGCCATGCCCCCATGGGTTGACAGTCACGATGAGGAAACCATTCAACAGCAAATCCTGGCCCTGTCAGCTGTGAGTACCCACAGAGCCCTGGGTGAGCACGCTTGCCCCATCACGCGTGTGTCTGCCATTAGAACCTTACCTGTGTGCTTCTGTACCATTTTTGAAGCATTTGGACATGTTAGGAATGTACACATCAACTTCATTTTCTGGTGTTTGCTTTTCTGTGGTGCTGAGGATCAAACCCAGGGCCTTGTGCATGTTAGGCAAGTGCCCTTGCCCTGAGCTACATGCCCAACCCTTTTTACTACAGGATTTCCCATTAGCTTATCCTTAAGTTCTTTTTTCTTTTTCTTTTAATTTTTATTAGCACATCTTTGCAGTACCCAGTGATTACATTCACCATGAGGAGTTGGCACATGTACATAAATTGCTTTTTCATAATATGAAAGGATAGCCTGTTATGTGAAATAATTCTGTAATTCTGAAAAAGATTCTTTTATATTATTGAGATAATCTTTTGAGATATGCTGTTGTGTGAAGTCTTTAGGCAGAGTCCTGATTCTGTGAGTGAAATGATTACCTTCTGTATTTTCTCTTCACTTACATGTATTTGTAGCTGGGTTCGATAGCACACACCTGTAATTCCAGCACTGTGGGAGACTGAGGGAGGAGGATCACAAGTTTCAGTGGGCAGTTTAGTGGCATAGTGAGACCCTGTCTCAAGATCTCCAGACCTAACCAGGTGTAGTGGCACAAGCCTGTAATCCTGAGGCAGGAGGATTGCTGTAAGTTCAAGGCCAGCCTGACCGACATATATACCTTGTCTCACAAAACCAAAAACAGAAGAAAAGAAAAATAGGGCCAGGGATTTAACTCAGTGGTTCTGCCGCTTGCCTCAAAAGCACAAGGACCCGAGTTCGATCCCTGGTACCAAAAAAAAAAAGAAAAGAAAAATAAGAGCAGCCTTTGCTCTGCTTATTATGCTCAAGAAGGGTGGTTGGGGACTCCCCTATTCATCCCAGTCAGACAAGGTCAGGTCCTGTTTCACAAACTCCGTCACCCTCATGCAGAATAAATGTGGTCTCACTGGGGTCAGGACATGTGCAAAGCTGGCTGACAGGAGAAATGCTGAGCGTGAGCATTCTCTTACTCCTACAGCAGAGCCCACCTGGGCTGTTGTGGCCCAGCGCCAGATCTTCTTGTAGGAACATTTTATCCATAGCAATCGTGGAGGAGAAGATGTCTTTTTCTTTTTCTACCTTTCTAATAAGTCTCTGTCTCTGTCTGTCTGTCTGTCTGTCTGTCTCTCTCTCTCTCTCTCTCTCTCTCTGGGTTTTTGAGGCAGACTCTTCATATACATAATTTAGCCTGGCCTTGAACTCATTTTGTAGTGCAAGTTGGATGGCCTCAAACTTTTAGCAGTCCTCCTGCCTCAGCCTCCTGAGTGCCACATGCCTGGCACTTTTTTTTTAGAGTCTTGCTATGTTGCCCAAGCTGGTCTTAAACTTGTGGGCTCAAAGAATCCCTCCTGCCTCAGTCTCCAAGTGCTGGGCCTACAGGAGGGACTTTAGGGGGTTTTTTTCTTGTTTTTTTTTTTTAGGGACTTGAAGTTTTAATACACCGAGCCTTTTTGTTGGCGTGTTAGCCATGCAATGAATCAGGGATTCTGTGAGGCTTGGCTTCAGGTATCCTAAGCCTGCATTCAGCAGCAAGAAGAAGAATCCACTCAGTGTTATTCAGATGTGTTTAAATGGGATCGGTTCCTGGAAGGTGGAAAGAGAAGAGGGGTCCGGTTGTGTTCCTCTCCTCCACCCCTGCTGCAGCCCTCCCAGTATGCCTTCCGCCTCAGAAACTTGCAGCAAGAGGCTGGGATGCTGCCCATTGAGAAGGCACGGGCTCAGCATGCAGAAGCCCCAAGGTTGGAGCCCCAGCACTGAAAGAAGGGACGGACGGATAGATAGATGGATGAAACTTGCAGGAGGCACCGAGCCTGCAGGGGTGAAGTTGAAAGGATTGTGAGCCGGGCATGGTGGTGCATGCTGAAATCCCAGCACTTGGGAGACTGAGGCAGGAGGATTGCCGAAAGTTTGAGGCCAGCCTGGGCTACATAGCGAGACCCTCTCTCAAAAACCAAGAGAAAAAAAGATCATGTGAAAAAATTGGAAGCACTAACTTTGAAGTTAGTCACCCCACCGTGGTGGGCCCTCGGCAAGGCTTTCTTAGGAGAACTGTGCGTTGGTCCCCATCATGGGCCCAGGCCCTCAGTGCAGGGACTGAGCCTGAGGAGTGCAGTAGACTGGATGGCAGAGCCTGGGCCTGAGTCCACGAGGTAGGGCCAAGACCAGTCTGTGCACATTTAGAAACAAAGTAGAGCAAGGAGTGGTCGCACAAACCTGTATCCCAGAACTCTGGGAGGCTGAGGCAGGAGGATCATAAGTGTGGGGCCAGCCTGGGCAACTTTAGTTACTTAGCAAGACTGTCGCAAAAACAAAAAGTACAGGGCCGGGGATTTAGCTCAGTGACACCACGCCTGTCTCATAAGTGTAAGGTCCTGAGTTAGATCCCTGGTACCAAAAAAAAGTATAAAAAGGGGGGCGGGGATTTAGCTCAGTGGTTCTGTTGCCTGCCTTGCAAGTGTAAGGTCCCGAGTTCGATCCCTGGTACCAAAAAAAAAAAGTACAAAAAGGATTGGGGACGTAGCTTGGTGCACAGACTCCATATTCAACCCCCGGTACTGGAAAGAGAGTTTGGGCTCAGTGCTCCTGCAGTTTCATCAATTCAATTGAAGGCAGTTGGCTGTGTTACTGTACTTAAAGGCACCCGCTAGCACAGACGCATACTTGCATGGTTTCAGACTACTCTGAGCCAGTCATGGGGCCCTCAGTGAGTGTGAGGAAGCGCTCTCGGTGGGCGGCTCTCGGGCGGCTCTGCGCTTCTCAGCTGAAGGCTGCCACAGAATCCAGCACCTGTCCCAGCTGGCTGAGCCGTGACCTGTGAATTCCGTTTTGCGCTCTTCCCTTCCATGACCTGTGAATTGCATTTTGTTCTCTTCCCTTGTCTCTCCCTGCTCATCAAAGGACAAGAGGAATTTCCTTCGGGACCCCCCGGCTGGCGTGCAGTTTCACTTTGACTTTGATCAGATGTCCCCCGTTGCCTTGGTCATGCTGCGAGAGGACGAGCTGCTGAGCAAGATGCGCTTTGCTTTGGTTCCTAAACTGTAAGTGCATGCATGCGCTTGTGGCGGTGGCATCCGGTCCACAGGCCTTGGCTGTGTGTCCAGTGTCAGAGAAGGTCCATCGAGGTAGCCGGGGTGATGGGGCAGAGCACTGGGGCTTGGAGGAGCTGTGATCTTGTAAGCCAGTAGAACTGCAGATCTGCCCAGTGTCTCCCCAGGTAAAAGCATGTGGGGACCTTTACTTTTTTAGGAGAAAAGGCCTTTGCCTTTGGAGGCTAGGGCAGGAGGATCGCAAGTTGAGTTCAGCCTGGACAATTTAGTGAGATCCTATCTCCAAATAAAAAAGGGCTGAGGAGGGCCGGGGATTTAGCTCAGTGGTTCCGCCACCTGCCTCGCAAGCGCAAGGGCCCGAGTTCGATCCCTGGTACCAAAAAAAAATCAAAAAGGGCTGAGGATATAGCTCAGTGAGAAGGCCCCGATTTAATTCCCAGTGCTACAAAAGGAAAAAAAAAATGTACTATCTATTTCTTTGCTGCAATTGTGCACCCAGCCCTAGGAATTGACCTCTGACAGTTTGCGTGTGTGCGTGTGTGTCTGTGTGTCTGGAGCTCTACCATCAAAGCCCTTGGCAGTCATGCCCATTCTGTGGACAGACCCCAGGGAAGAGCCCGGTGGCTTCCTCCCTGCAGCTCCATCAACTCCGAGGCCATTGGTGTCACCAGGCCACACCGGGCTCCATACTGTGACTCTGTGTCAGGGCCATCGGGAGACCCGGGTTGCTGCAGCCTGTGGCCCATGTAGGAACATGGCAGCCACAGTTTCAGTTCCTGTTCTTGACCTCCTCTTTCTGCCAATGGCAACTGTAGATTTCTGAAAGCTTTGGAGCATTGGTATTTGGTGATTAGTGTTTCTGGTTTGTCACAGGCTGTGTACTTTAACATAGTTCCAGTTTCTGACTGCTAATTTTGTTAAGAAGGATTTAGAAATTGTGGTTAGCGTGCTGTCAGAAATGCTTACTGAAATATTATGGATGAAGCCAGGAGTGGTGGTGCACGCCTATAATCTCAGCACCCGCCTTTGATCATTTGAGCCGCTCTGTAAAGCAGCATTATCTGGGAACTGACTCTCCTGAGCACCGCACCAGCCCAGGCACCTCTGAGGCCCTCCCTCCTGTCCCGTCCCGCTGTGTCCCCAGGGGCACTCTGGGTGCCGAGGCCTTCGGATGGGCCAGGTGAGCAGAAGTCATCAGGTCAACTCGGAGAACCACATCACTCGTCCCCCAGCGGCTCCTCAGAGCCCACCGTGTGGTCTGCATTGTCATTCTTACTGGGAGGGAGGGTGACACACGAGAGTTCCCCGTGAGCCTCTGCGACCACTTCCTCTCACATGTGGAGAGCTGGGCTAGACAGGAAATTAGCTGAATGCTTGTTTCTGTGAGTGGAGGGTGCAGACAGTGCCTCAGTCACCTTGGCGACTTGGCGACACCCAAGGCTCCTGTTAGATGGCTCTGAGAGCTCAGAATGCAAGCAGCCACCTATCTCCTGGGAAGGACAAGGACACTTCACTCGAGGGGGAGAGGTGTGGAACAGGGGATTGAACCCAGACAGCACTGAGCTACGGCCCCAGCCCTTTTTATATTTTGACCAGTGTCTCAGTTGCCCAGGAGGGACTTGAACTTTCGATTTGCCTGCCTCAGCCTCCCTCATTGCTGGGATTGCAGGCGTGCGCTACCATGCCTGACCCACGTCAGTCATTTTATCAGTCATCTCCCAAAATGCTGGGGGTGTAGCAAGGTGCTTGCCTAGAGCTTGAGGCCCTGGGTTCCATCCCAGCACTGCAAAAACCAAAATGTCCCCAGCCATCTCGCCCTCCTGGCCAGCTCCATGCCGCTGCTGATTCGCATGCTGCCGAGCACTCTTTCCTGAAGTGCAACACCACCCCCACCACCCCCACCTCCCCGCAATGTTTCTTCTCCTGCTCTGGATGCATTTAACCCTCCCGGAAAGAACAAAGCACCAGTGGAGCCCTGACCCTGCTTTGTCCCCCAGCTTGGTCACCCTGCTTCACAATAGTGCTGTTACCTTTGGCCAAGGGCTGTGCCAGTGTCGCTAACGTGCCATGACATGCTGAGTTGTCACTGGCACTCTGTGACTTGTCTGCTGCTGCTGTGAAAAAAAAATAGCTGTTCTGTTTATCTTGTAGCACAGCTTTCACTTGTAAAGCAAATGAGAATCTCCTCTGAGCCTCCCTGGGATTTGAAAGTATGGTACTCTTAAACTGGGCGTGGTGGCACACACCCGTGATCCCAGCACCTGAGAGGCTGAAGCAGGAGGATTGTCACAAGTTCGAGACCAGCCTGGACTACATAGTAAGATGGTGTCTCAAAAAATCAAAAAAAAGGGCCGGGGATTTAGCTCAGTGGTTCTGGCACCTGCCTCGCAAGTGCAAAAAAAAAAAAATTAATCCCCCGGTAAAAAAAAAAAAAAAAAAAAAATCAAAAAAAGATATGAAAAGGAAGGACTTCTTCTAAAAACCACCTATTCCGGGGGCCTGAGTTGTAGCTCAGCGGGAGAGCACTTGCCTAGCCTAGCAAGGCCCGGGTCCAGTCCCCTGTGCAGCAGTGTGCCTTCTCACGCAGCGTGTCCTGTGTATCTTTCACAGCGTGAAGGAGGAGGTGTTCTGGAGGAACTACTTCTACCGTGTGTCCCTCATCAAGCAGTCGGCCCAGCTCACGGCCCTGGCTGCACAGCAGGCCTCAGTCTCAGTCAAGGAGGAGAAGAGCGGCCCTGTAGGTGCCGACTCGCCGCTGACAGGTACCTTTCGGGCCTCCGTGCCCACCGGGCCGCCAGGAAGGCGCCATCGAGCAGGGTTCCTGCTCTCCTGCTGCCCCAGCTCACACACGCCTTCCTCTCACTTTCCTTTCCTTCGAGGTCTCCTCGCTGCTTGTTTTCATTTTCTTCTTTTTCTTTTTCTCTTGAGTTCCAGGCCTCTTCCCCACATTGTTCTCTTTTGTTTTTATTGGGACATATTTATAGCGCACACTGTTTACATCCACTGTAGGGAGTAAGTCCATGTCCTTAACACATCTTAATTCTTTTTATTCCCCTCTCCCTGCATCTCTTGATCCCCTTCCCATTTGCAAAAGATCTATCTCTGTGTTTCCTATTGTCTGTCTTTTTTTTTTTTTTTCAGTACTGGGAATCAAACTCAGGATCTTGTGCTTGCCAGGCAGGTGTGGCTCCACTGAGCTACATCCCAGCCCTTGTGTATCTTTTATTTTGCTCTCTATTTATATAGTATATTGGGTTTCTCATATAAGAGAAACCATGTGGTATTTAAGCTTATGTGTCTGATTTCATTTAATATGATCTCAAGGTGCAGCCATTTTCCTACAAGTGACTCAAGTTTATCCTTTTTATGGCAGAGTAGTACTCCATTGTATGTAAACCCCACATTTCCTGCCCTTCGCCAGGTGATGCTTTCTACCTGCTGTCCTCCCCTCTGACTCAGCTGCCTCCTCTGTTTCTTGTCCTTTCATTCCACCTGGCTTCCTGGGCATGCATGGTCTGCAGGGTAAGGTAACCCTGTACCCGCCTCTGAGCTGGGCATGCTCCATTTAAACAGAGGTCACATTGGCCCTGGAAGTAGGGCAAGTGTTTTGGCATATCAGTTCTCTGGAATGCTAATTAAAATAAGGAATGTGTTTTGTGTCGCCTTCGTCTTGGTGAGGCCTGCTGTGTATAGGAGGATACTGACTACAAGCGGATGTTCATCCCACGCAAAGCGGAGTTGTGTAGCTCATGGAAGCCCAGGTGCTTCAGCAAAAGAATGTGTTCCAAAGCCCAGCTGCATAGAATGCAGGCCAGCAAAGGCTCTGAAGCCACACTGGTATCAGGGAAGCGTGGTGAAGTTGCTCTGCCTGATAAAATTTGTCATTTTGCATGTAAATGCAGCATACACCCCCACAAACTAGCATTCTTTAAATTTTACTGGAAAGTGCTATTTTACGAAATGCTGCATGTTAAACAAAATGGATTTAAGATGGTTTTCATAAAGACTGTCTAGTAAGGTAAATAAGACTGAAAGGGCGAGGATTTAGCTCAATGGTTCCACCGCCTGCCTTGCAAGCGGAAGGACCCAAGTTCGATCCCCGGTACCAAAAAAAACAAAAGACTGAAAATGAAGCCGGATGTGGTAGTGCATATACCTGTAATCCTAGCACTCTGGAAGTCTGAGGCAGGAGGGATCTTATGTTCAAAACCAGCCTAGACAACTTAGCAAGATCTTGTCTCGAAATGAAAATAAACAAATGATGGGCTGGAGGTATAGCTCAGTGTAAAGGCCCTGGGTTCAATCCTTAGTACCAGAAAGAAAAAAGGAAAGAAAGTGAGGCCGCTGAGAAAAGAGATGATTGGGGTTGAATATTGCATGTTTCTTTGTGCCCTCCAGCTTTCCTAACAGGGAAACTTCGTAAATTGTGTCATTCTCATCATCCCGAAGGAAAGAACAATGCATTTTGCTACCACGGAAGCCCAAAATTATTTCCTGCTAGAAATTTTATATAAGGGCATTGACTATGGTAACATCTCTAAAATATCCCCAAAACTGAGAGGTTCCGATGAGTGTGCGTGGCTAGTTCTTGTAATAACTTGAGAAAAGCTGAAAGTGGACCATCAAAGCTCATTTCTGAAAAGCATTTGGTCTCGTCATACTTGTAGAGATGTTAGCTGTGACTGTACTATGTATTCAGAACAGAAGCAAGCAATTATTGTCTCTCTTATTGTCACTTCTTAGAGGCAGTACGGCCCAAAACGCCACCTGTCGGAATCAAATCTCAGCTTAAAACTCAAGAGGTAATACAGTTTTCCGTTGTACCTAGTTGTTGGTCTGAAGTGAATAATTGGGTGTCTGAGTCACTTTCTCATTCTGGGACACAGTACCCGACACCCACAATTTAAAGGAGGAAAGGTTTATTTTGACTCATGTATTTTGGAAGTTTTAGTCCACAGTCTGCCTGCTCCAAGGCACAAACCTGGTGGAAGGGTGTGGCCAAAGAAACAGAGCAAAGGGAGGCACCTCCAAACATAAGGGTCCTTTGGGGACAGGCCGGATCCCATCCATGACAGTGGATGATAAACAGTCTCTGCCACCATTGAAAACCACTTAAGAGTACGGGCCTTGTAGACCTGCAGCTGAGACCCGAGGCCATTTCCAGCATGAGTAATCCCAGATGTGCTCCTGGGGACGGGAGAGCGTGGTGGGAATGGTCCAGGCTGAGGGAGGAGAGGCAGCAGGATGGTAATCGCCCAGTTACAAGGCAACAGTGCAGGTTAGCAGAATGAGAAGCAGTGCCCAGTGACTCACAGCTGGCAGGGCAAAGAACAAAATGAGGCTTATGAAATTGTGAGATAGCCATCAGCCAGAATCCTAGCCCAGAAATGGCACTTAGAGACCCATCTCAAGAGCTCTTGCTGCCTTTCAGGACGAGGAGGAAATTTCCACAAGCCCAGGTGTTTCTGAGTTTGTCAGTGATGCCTTCGATGCCTGTAACTTAAATCAGGAGGACTTAAGGAAGGAAATGGAGCAACTTGTGCTCGACAGAAAGGAAGAGAAGATAGCTGTGGCAGAAGGTAAAATAATAAAACCTTTGGGGCTTTTGTCTCCTAGTTCCAGAGTTGATTGCATAAAATGTTATTAAAAAGACTATTGACAAGGGCCGGGGATTTAGCTCAGTGGTTCCACCGCCTGCCGTGAAAGCGCAAGGACCCGAGTTCGATCCCTGGTACCAAAAAAAAAAAAAGCCTATTGACAAAAATACGTTGTAAATCCTGCATCAGAATTGATTCTCAGAGCTGGGCAGGGTGTCACATGCTTGCAGTCCCAGCATTCTGGGAGGCTCAGGCAAGAGAATCAAAAGTTTGGGCCCAGCATTGGCAATTGAACAACTTAGACTGTGTGTCAAAATGAAACATAAAAGGGCTGGGGATATAGCTCAATTCAAAGGCCCTGGATTCATTCTCTAGTACTGGGGTAGGGTAGGGGGGATTCTACATCATTTCTCATTAAGATTTGCTGTTCTGAGTGTAGAACTGCAAATAAAGCCCAATGAAATCTACAGGAACAAGGGACTGGGGGGTAACTGAGTGGTAGAATGCTTGCCCAGCATACCTGAGGTCCCGGATTTCAGCCCCAACACTGCAAGGCCCCCCCAAACTCCATTCCCCCTAGAGCTGGGTGCACGGACAGGAGCAGACCTCTTGAGCTCCTCCCGGAAGTGGAAGCGGAAGTGATCCCTAGAGCAGGTCTGAGGACTCCACTGCTAGCTTCCTGCCATCCAGGCCCTTGGGGGAGCCGCACACAGAGGCTTCTTCCCCCACCACGGGAGCGGGAGCCGGGTGCCTTCGGAAGGCAGCAGAGAGAACTGCAGAGCCTGTTTGCTTTGGCTGACAGGCCGCACTGATGGTGAATCCCCATCAGATGAGGCAGTCCCTGCGACCTCCTTGGCTGCATCACACATCCAGGGAGTCAGCTGTGCTCGCAGCGGCACGGAGTGCCAGCGTCAGCCACCAGAGCGGCCTGCAGGGGTGCGCCTGAGCCCTGGGTGCCCGCTGTCACCAGGGCCTGGGGTCAGAGCTGAGCAGGACAGTGGGGATGGAGCTCCTGAGCTGGATGCCCTGGTGAAGCGACCTTCACCTTGCTGCTGTGTTTACTGGTGACATGCTGGTCACAGCCCCTGGGGACTCAGGGAGCACTGGGCCAGGACTCTTAAGGCATTGGCTGGCTGCTCTAGTGAGAGGTTTATCTGAATTCCTGCCTAATTTAGAATTCAGAGCAATTCCTGTTCTCGTGTTTTGAATACTGGGGATTGAACCTAGGGCCTTCTCACTGAGCTGCACCCCCTCCCCCCTTTGAGACAGTGTCTCGCTGAGTTGCTAAGTTGCCCAGGCTGGGCCTGAACTTGGAATCCTCCTGCCTCAGTCTCCCACAGTGCTGGTTTTACAAGTGTGCACCACTGCACCGGCTTCATATCCTTTTATATATTGTGTATCTTGGCCCCGAACCACATTGAACTCCTCAAGGGCAGTTATACCTCATCTCTCTTCTTCGATGCCTTACGTGGAGCTTAGTGCTCAGCAAGCACCTACCAGTACTGAGCATCTGGGAGACGATGCTTTCTGACACAGTGCCTATTCTCATTCACTCCTGCCGCATTTTGGTTTTGCTTTTTCAGTAGCTACTAAGCTTAAGGTTTGTATAAACACACAGCACATACGTATGCACCATGCTAGGGATAGGGCCCAGGGCCTGATCTAGACTGAACACTAAGCTATATCCCCAGTCTACATTCACTTAAAAAATGAATTTTAGCTGTTTTTGTTTGTTTGAGATAGGGTCTTTCTATGCAGTTCAGGCTGGCCTTGAATTCACTATGTAGCCCAGTTCTAGGATTATGGGTATGCACTACCACACCTGGCCAGACTGGCCATTTAAAAAGTAAAGCTAAAATCTGGCATGCTGGCAACATACCTGTAATCTCAGCACTTAGGAGGCTGAGCCAAGAGGATCGCCACAAGTTCAAGGCCTGAACTACACAGTGAGACCTTGTCTCAAAAAACAAAAGGAGGCTGACAGAATTGTTAGCAGTACATTATGAGTTCAGAGCACATCTTTCTTGTCCTTCTCCTTTGTTTCTTGTAGAGGATTCTGCCGATTGGGAAAAAGAACTGCAACAGGAGCTTCAGGAGTATGAGGTGGTCACGGAGTCCGAGAAGCGAGATGAGAACTGGGATAAGGAAATAGAAAAAATGCTTCAGGAAGAAAACTAGCTGTCTCCTGCAATAAATAAATAACCCTTGCCATTCTGCACACTGACATGAAATTCTTGATGTTGACACTCCCTGAATCAGAAGGCACAAAAATTTTTTTTCAAGCTGAAACTTGTCTCTTCTACTTTAAAAGTATGTAGAACAGTTATTCTAATAATCATTAAAGGGGTGTTTTATGTAGCATTTCCTTAATATAAATCACATTGGAGTTGTTCTTTTAGGCAGCATATATAGATATTTTTGCCACGGAAACACAGGTAAAATTTTTAGAGTTGTCTTCCATAAGATCAGAAGTATCATTTCTTACAGTTGTATAAGCATTTGTGTTCCTCACTGCATTGTTGTTGATACTGAATAATTCTATTGTTCTTACTGAATAGATTACTATCAAAATGACCAAATTATACCAAAGAATTTAAGAGGAAGCACTTTCAGAACTGTTTTCTTGCTAGTTTCTTTTTTTTCCTAAACTTCCATCTGAAAGCCAAAAGGTAAGATAATGAAGTTGATTGGAGACACCTGTAATCCCAGCGCTCAGGAGGCTGAGAGGCAGGAGGATCGCCAGGAGTTTGAGGCCAGCCTGAACTACATAGCGAAACCCTCTCAAAAAACCAAAAAAATAAAAATGTAAATAAATGAAGTTGATCAGAATGCTACAATGAACACAGCTTGACCATGGGCGATTCTTTGCAGAGCCAGGTGCCGCCCAAGCTAGAGCACTTGCCTGGTGTGCATGAGGCCCTGGGTGGGAGTCACAGAAAAAAAGGAAAGATTATTATGCAAATATTTGTAAAGGGCCGGGGGGTGTAGCTCAGTGGTACTGCGCCTGCCTGGCAAGCACAAGGTCCTGAGTTCAGTTCCTGGTACCGGAAAAAAAAATTGTACAAACTGTTTTTCCCCAGGGTCTTGTGTCTTCCATTGCTTCACTCGTTCTTTCTTTTTAAACTTGACTACAAATGTGACGTGATGGTTTTTGTAGCAAGCGGGGCCTTCTGTCCATTTGTATTAATGACTTTCAGAATCCTGTGTACCCTAAACTGTTCCTGTTTTCATGGTCACTATATATCAATGTTACGGCTTTGTCTTAATTAAACTGCCAGTCTTTCTAGCTCTGTGTCCCCTGAGTGCAACCTGGGACCTTACTGGATAGTCCTTGTCCTTTGCTACTCCAGCAGGCATGAGTTCATGTGATTCCAGTTGTTCAAGAGCATGGGGGTTTCATCTTAGAAACTTCATAAGCATTTGCCTCCCAAACTGTTCGTGATTTTTAGTAGCTTTTATTTCATAAAGGGGAATGAAACCAAGACATTTCTCCATAAGAAAGATGTACATATTCCTAATTCAGGCCCATAAAAAAGCACATGTGTTGTCTGCCAGCAGGAGAACCAGACTGGCTGTGTGGCAGTCACTCAGGTGTCACAATGAGCTCACCTATACTGAGACACCAGCCCACTGTCAGATTTCCACTTGGAGTGCCACAGTCACTGCTTTCTGAGTTTGGGTTCAGAGTTACCTTTCTGCTAGTGAGGCTGAGGCAGGAGGATCACTGCACGTTCAAGGCCAGACTGAACTACATAGCGAGATCCTGTCTCAATAAAATGAATGCATGCATGCATGCCATGGTGGCAGCTCAGCAGCCTAACCAACTTGTTCTTCACGAGAGCGAATGGCAGTAAGTCAGGAGCAGAGGGAACCGAAGTCTGCTACTCTCAGAAAGCAGTTTGGGGCTGGGGCTGTAGCTCAGTGGTGCCACGGCTGCCTGGCAAGTGCAAGGTCCTGAGTTCAATTCTTGGTACCAGGAAAAAAATAAGCAGTTTCCCAAGATATTACCTTGGGAAGCAGCCTAATTGTCCATTGCCAGGTACCATAGGATTTTGTAGACTAAGAATATATCTGTGCTGTTAGGGACTTGGCACAATGATCGTGCTGCTTTAGAACCACAGCATTCCCCTTCCAGGGGCAAAATCACCTGGAGCCCAGCCTAGCCCAGTTCCTATGTCACTCTGCCCCAGGGGTTAGGGTTAGGATGGCACTGGGCGTGGAGGGTCAGCTCCCCACAGCTATGTTCAAGTCCCAGCATGCTGCCCCACTTCGAAAATAAAAGAAGACCCAGCACTGGGGAGAGTGAGTCAGGAGGACCACAAGTTTGAGGCCAGCTTGGGCTACATAGTTCAAAGCTGGCTTGAACTACATAGCAAGACCCTGTTTTGAAAAGCAAAAAAAAGGAAAACTGGCCTCTCAGGGCAGCAAGTGTGTCTGCTGCTTTTCATTCCTTTTCCTTCCGCTAGACATCCCTGCATGACGGTGGTTTTTTGTTTCTTTTGTTTTTGCAGTACTGAGGGTTGAACCCAAGGCCTTTGCACTGAGCTACATCTCCAGCCCTTTCTTACTTTTATTTCTTTTTTTTCTTGGTACCGGGGATCGAACTCAGGTCCTTGTGCTTGCGAGGCAAGTGGTGGAACCACTGAGCTATGAGCTAAATACCCAGCCCTCTCACTTTTATTTTGAGCTAGGGTCTAGCTAAAGTGCTAAGTTGCCCAGTCTGGGTTCAAACTTGTGATCTTGCTGCCTAAGCCTCCCGGAGTGCTGGATTACAGGTATATGCCAGCAACCCCAACCAGCAGTGCTTTTCTAGTTGTTACTGGGGTCTCTCTGAGCTCCCACTGTGACCTGCTGCTGACTCCTTTCCACACTGCCAAAATTAAGAGAACCTACATTTCCAGAAGGGTGAAAAATCTGGGCTAAAGCAGATTTTTTTTTCAATGCTGGGGATCAAACCTGAGGCCTTCACACTGAACTATACCCTCCGGGTTTTTTTTGTTGTTGTTTTTTTTTAATGAGACAGGAGCTTGCTAAATTGCCCAAGCTGGGCTCAAATGCATAAGCTACCATGTCTGGCTTATTTTTGAGCCAGGGTCTCACTACTTTGACCTGTAGGACTAGAACATTCGGTCTTCCTGCCTCAGCCTCCCTCAGTGCTGCGCCATGGCCCTGTGCCATGGCCTGCAGCTAAATGGCCTTTTTTTTTTCCTGGTACCAGGGATTGAACTCAGTACCTTGCATTTTCAAGGCAGGCACCACTGAGCTACATCCCTGGCTCTAAATGACCTATTTCTTTTTTCTTTTTTTTTGATACCAGGGATCGAACTCGGGACCTTGCACCTGCAAGGCAGGCATCGGAACCACTGAGCTAAATCCCCGGCCCCTAAATGACCTATTTCTAATATCACACATTTCCCTGGAGACCAGGCACAGCCAGGGCAGGCTCTAATGTCTCATATGTCACAGGGCAGTGACTTCTAGGAACCCGAGGTGAGGCTGAGGGTTCTCTGCTGGACTTGAACAGGGTCGGAGGCCACTGCGCTGAGGTGGGGGGTGACACTGCCCGATGTGTCTCCAAAGGAGCTCAGGTAGCTACAGTAACCGGAAAGGCAGTGTAGCCAAGCTAACTCCTTCCAGCCCACTTGAGTGGCATGCACAGTGTTATCCAAAGATTAACAATGTTCCCCTCTGCAGTTGTAGCAGTTCAGCAAGGGATGCAGCCAGTCCTAGAGGGAGGTTGTGCTGGGCTCCCAGAGGGCAGAAACTCAGAGTGTCACAGTGTCCCGCTCCGAAGGGACACGGACTGGGCACTCTGCACTGGTAACTTTAAAGAAGTGAACCTGTCTTAGACACAGCAGCAAGGACTCCCCAGCGGGACCTGGGACGGTAAGCTGTGCTTGCTCCTCCACCGGCCCACCGGCCAGCCCAGCATTGACATGCAGGCTCAGGGCATTTACTCTCTGGTGCATGCCTAGCATCCCAATACTCTGGAGGCTGAGGCAGGAGGATGCTGAGTCCAAGCCCAGCCTGGGCTGCATAGCGAGTTTGAGGCTACTCCACACACTTACACAGAGACTTCCTGTGGCATGTGAGAGTCATGTGAGAGCTGAGATTAAACTATGTGCTTCTATCCTAGAATCCCAGCTACAGGGGAGGCTGAGGCAGGAGGAGTGAGAGTTTGAGGCCAGCCTGGGCAATTTAATGAGGTCCTTTCTCAAAACAACATTTTAAAGAAGCTGGGGACATAGCTCAGTGGTAGAACACCTCGGGCTTCAAGCCATAGTAATGCAGCTATCAAGTGTGGTGCCACAAAACTGTATTAATGCCACTAACACAGCATCAAATGTTCATGGTTAATTGAATTCACAATGCACGCTTTCAGAATTAAGGCTCAAAAGACGCTGTGCAGCAGTGCTGCTTATGGACTAAGACTTATGGACAGCTGCAAAAAATCCACTTTTGCAACTCAAAACTCACTGTTCAGTAGGAGTTTCGATACATAAGAAGGAATAAGCCAGGTGTGGTGGTGCCTGTGATTCTGGCACTTGGGAGGCTGAGGCAGGAGGATTGCTGGGAATTCAAGGCCAGCCTGGGCTACATAGCAAAGGGCTGTCTCAAAAACACAAAACAAATAAACAACAGGTGTGAGAAACTGAAAGTGGAAATAAGGCCAAAATGTATAATAGATACTGGGAAATGGGAAGAAAATCTTCAAATGAGAAGGGAAGCAAGGGAGGGGGAAGGGGAAAAGGAAAGAAAGGACAAGGAAAAGAATAGACAGGAAAAATGGAAATAAAGCTTTTGCAAATGGGGGAAGAGGGATCTAGGGGAGGGGGATGGGGAAAAAAGCCAGATGCATCATGTACAGATACAAATTCCCTATGATGAATGTGATCATTATGTATATCTAAAATGTACCAACAAAGGTTTTGCTTCAATAAAACACAAATAACAACGAAGTTAATAATTAGAAAGCATAGGGCATGAGCAAAACCTCAGCTCTATTGATGCCATATTTCACTTTTCATTTTCACATTTTCACTTTTCAGCTTAGTCTTCCTCTTCCTTAAAGGCTTCTGTCTTGAGAACATGGCGTCTGGAGCTGAGGATGTGTCTTACTGTGAGTGTGTGGATCATGTTTGCTTAAATGTAGTAAAGATAGCGGGCCATGGTGGCACACCCCTGTAATCCCAGCACTCCAGAAGCTGAGGCAGGAGGACCGCCAGACCCCACCAGTCTGAGCCACATAGTGTCACAGACTATTTACTTAGTTAGCATATGAGTGAGGCAGCTGGCTAGGGAAAGGGTCGGAGATGGGAATAAGAATAGACAGTAAACTCTACATTTGTAGGCAACAAAGAATGCAGCCTTTCCCTCTTAAAGAGAGGCATCACGCATCTACACGGAGTGCCAGGTTTTAAGGAATTTAAAATACAATGAACTTAATAACATGAAATACAGCCCATCCCCTCCTCAAGATTCTGAGGAAATTATCATGTAAAATAACCAGTTAGACCCCGGTTTACTGTGAAAACTGTGTTTAGAAACTGGGCACCAGAGCCCAAGTTCCCACTGGTCATTTTGTTTGTTTTTTGAGAAGGGGTCTCACTATGTAGCCCGGGCTGCCCTCGAATTCATGGTGATGCCCAGGCCGGCCTCAGCCTCCCGAGTGTGCACCACCGCGCCCAGCTGAAATCATTCTGCACTGAAATAGTTCTTGTGGCAGCTGGGGCTGAGTGGGGCTGGGGAAAGAGGCCCCAGTGATAAGGCCGGAGGACGAGATTCACAGCCTTTGCAGTGCTCAGCCTCTTTATTAATAAATGAAGGGCTGGGCCAGGGATTTAGCTCAGTGTTTTCCTTGCCTGCTGTGAAAGCGCAAGGACCGGAGTTTGACCCCCAGTACCAAAAAAAAAAAAAGGAAATAAATAAAAAATAAAATAAATGAAGGGGTTCGACTGCTTTCTTTTGCATTTGCCCCTGTGCATTGTTTCGCTTTTCCGGGACATACAGTACCCTGGTTTTTGCACGGGACACAGACTAAAGAGCAGCACTGAACCTCTGCCCCATCCGCAATCGACACTCTACGGCAGCAAAGGAATGGGAAGAAAAGGTAGCGATTGCTAATGAGAAAAACAGAGGTGCTGCCACCAGTGCCAGTTGATGCCAGGGACATTTCAGAAACCCGAGAGGCTCAGGGAAAAACAGGAGCGGGCTGGGCAACTTCACCCTCTGCCAAAATGTGTTTGCGGTGTTGTTGGTGGTGTTTGTACTGGGGATTGAACACAG